AATCTTCGGGCGAAAATCGACCCACTTTCCGTCATCCCATCTAGCTGAAACTAACCACATCAGACTCGTTGCTGATGACAACGCATACCTTCATTTTTTCAGCCCAACCCTCAAAAAAGAAGATAAAAGAAAATTCCCGATAACTGCACTAAATGAGATTCTTAAAAGTTTCTTGGGTGCGCAATATTTTCTGCTGTTTTACAAAGATGGTTGGTGTAATAAATGTGCGATGTAAAAGCGTGTGGGATAATAAAATATTTAAAAAAATTCCGGAATGTGGCAAAAAAATGTGCGGTTTCCAATCGGGGGGGGGGGGGGGTTTAGAGGTAGAGAACTAATAAGCATTCTTATAGAGTGCGTTACTTGAATGCATGGTTTGTCAAATTTTCAGCGTCCCCCCCCCCCCCGCCCCCAAATCCCCAATTGCTGAATACTACATCTTAAAAATGATTTGTACGAAAACCTTTTTGTTTTTACCAGGTTTTTTTACTTAAAGACTAAACCTCAGCATTTACGTCCGTAACATGTTCCCTTGGTTAGTTGATGCCTACGTCGTAGAAGCGATTGCCCTTCCGATGTTAACATTAATAGTCAATGAGTCGGCCAATCAGAAAACTCTCTTATAAACTAAAGTCAATCTCTTAGTTGCGTACGTCATTATTTACCCTCTTTTAACTTTTATTTCCGAAAAAGCTTAAGTAATAAGGAATCGGGGATATGTTATCGTCCTTTTTATCATTTCTATTGCGACTAAAATATTGACGCTTAGGATAATTGTATCCTTAGATATGGGCCAAAGATTGTCATAATTATAGTTTTTAATTGAATACGCATCAATGGAATAATATTCTTCTATGAATTATTTACCTTTGAACAAAAGACATTAACGTGCATGTATTTTTAGGCCAGGGATGAAATAAACTTTCTAAAAAAATTAATCTAAGTGTGCTTATATCTGATTCCTTAGTGACAATAAACATACATTTGATACATTTTGCCTTCAGATACATGAAAGGATATCATGTAAAGCATGCTAGCAGGTAAACAGAGGGATGCCATGTGAAGGCTTGCAAGCAGGTAAATTGAAGGATACCACTAGCTCGTAGTTAGCGGAACTAAAACACAATTATGTGCTCTTGTTCTCTCTTGTCTTGACTAAGGCCATTCTCTTCTGTCAGGTTCCCCATAACAATTCTTATAAAAGCTGAAGAAAGTTCAAAACTAAATAGTTCTAAAGGCAAAGAAATGTGATCACGTCACTCCATTACTTCACTAACTCCAATGGCGCGCCATACAGGCACGCATTGATTACAAGCTGTCTGTTCTTTGTTACAACTTTTTTCTCTGTTTCCTGCTCTTCCTACTGAACTTATTTTTGTATATTCACCCCTTCGAAAGTCTGGTTCCTCCACAGACACACGTATTCTTTCTGTTCCCAGAACACGCACTAAAACATATGGTGAACGATCTTTCTCTTCCTGTGCCCCAAAAACAATGAAATTCTCTCCCGTTACACATCCGCAATATACCGACCATCACAGCCTTCAAAACTGCTCTCAAGACCCATCTCTTCAAATTGTACTATACCGACTCATTCCCACACAGCACTCGATGCTGCTGGGTGATGTCCATGGTTAGACAGGGGTAGATAGTACTTGGGTTAGTGAGGTCAAGTTTTTTTACCTATTGTTGTTTTTAAATGTATAATTTTCCGTAGTTGCTAATTTTTATGTGAAGCGCAGTGAGCCCATTCCTAGGCTGGGGTACTGCGCTATATAAATCCACCTTAATAATAATAATAATAATAATAATAATAATAATAATAATACTAATAATAATAAAAGGTTGCTAGCAGTTAATTGGAGGGATACAAAGTAAAAGTTTCCTAACAGAAGTTAGCGTCCACTCTTCGCTTTGTTTCTTGCTAGCATGCGATTTTTTTACAGTACATATTTGTTAGTTTTTGTTTTCAGTTTTCATTGGTGTAAAATATACGTATATTATGTATTGTGTAGTAAAACACGGCGTCCGGAATGTTTGTGGTACAAAAAGTTAGTGAAGACTCTAAGTTATCTGATATGAACAGAGACATGATGTGTAATAGTGGTCGTCTGTGATTGTACTGGACACTACAAGTTAGAGCTAGGAGGAGTGAATGTTTGCTATAATGTTTTAGGAATGACTTGCCCAGCACTGGTGATTGTTGACTGGGTCGCGTCCAGTGCTCCACTGTCATCCCCACTAACTGACTGATCCGTCCAACGGAAAGTACATGCCAGAAGAACGGTCATGATGACTTGAATCTGCAGTTCCATTGCGGGCCGTCTGAAAATATACCTTGAAAATTACCATTGATTACAAGATCACCATTGTTGAATATTTTTATATATCCTTTGTTTATTTGAAAAAAAGAACAAAATAAAAAAATTATAAAATTAATTACTTTCAAATAATATCTAACGCATATGTAATATAAATTATGGTATTTAACTTATATAGAAATACATTTACAAAGATTAATGTTCAAATGTAAATACCTAAACGATCTTTGTACGTTACGATGCTGTGGCTGAGACCATCAAACCTTCACTCACAAACCATCTCACTGTTGACATCCCGTACCGTCATCTTACGTCTGTGCACGCTAAGCTAGCTGCCTGGACCCATCCAATCTAATCATCGCGTGCAGGGTTCTCTATAAATTATTCTGTGGCCGACACTTCCTTCTTGTCAATGTGAATCTTGGTCCAGGCCTTTCACGCTGATGCCTCTGGCTTAATTTTCAGTCTTACTCTCTCATGTTTTTTGTTTTTTCCTTAAATTTCTAATATAATTTTTTAAAGTCTTGTTTCGTCTTAGTTGTTACGTGCGTCTTGACTTAATCAATGATAATCAATGATGAAAAATTGTGTGACTTATCTTTCATTGACTTGATAAAAACTTTAAAAATGCTTTTTTTTTTTTTTTTTAAATGACAGTCTTAATGAAAAATTGGTAAAGATTCAAAGATAACTTGTTTTAATCGAATTATTGTGAATTTATTTCTAGTGATGGAACTAGACGGGGGAGAGAAGACAGAGGGGAGGGAAGGTATGGGAAAAGGAGAGGAGGGGAAAGAGAGGAGGGATGGAAAGAGAGGAGGGAGGGGAAGTACAGACGATATCTGACTCACTGTTCAACTTTAGACCATTTTCTTTTCTCATTCTCTCTGAAAATTTCATATGCATACACTGAATGAAGTCCATTTGAAGAATATTACCAATTGTATTGAATAACAGGGATTGTATTGGGTAATGCTATTTGTGTTGAGTAATAACCAATGCATTGAGCAATACCAATTGTATTGAATAAGACCAATTGTATTGAGTAATACTTATTGTATTGTGTAATACTAATTTCATTATGCAATACCAATTGTATTGAGTAATAATAATGGTTTTAATAACTCCAATTGCATTCACTTTTTAAAATGATGTGTTCATAATGATTAAACCAAAAAAAAAAAAAAAAACACTACAATAATGTTATGTAACATTTGGGCTTTTTAAGAAATATAATTTCTCAAAGCTATTTCGATGACATGCGCTAATTTGCATAGGTCGAGGAGAACAATCACGTATGTTCACGCGCAGATGTCAATAATTAAATTAATAATTAAATTCTAATCAAAATAAGCAACGAGAGCCAAGTGCCTCGTCTCTAGCTTGTGTTCATAGGCGGTAACTGCCAAGTGCCTCATCTCTAACTTGTGTGCATAGGCCGTAACTGCCAAGTGCCTCGTCTCTAACTTGTGTTCACAGGCCGTAACTGCCAAGTGTCTCGTCTCTAACTTGTGTTCATAGGCCGTAACTGCCAAGTGCCTCGTCTCTAACTTGTGTTCATAGGCCGTAACTGCCAAGTGCCTCGTCTCTAACTTGTGTTCATAGGCCGTAACTGCCAAGTGCCTGGTCTCTAACTTGTGTTCATAGGCCGTAACTGCCAAGTGCCTTGTCTCTAACTTGGGTTCATAGGCCGTAAATGCCAAGTGCCTCGTCTCTAACTTGGGTTCATAGGCCGTAACTGCCAAGTGCCTGGTCTCTAACTTGTGTTCATACGCCGTAACTGCCAACTGCCTGGTCTCTAACTTGTGTTCATAGGCCGTAACTGCCAAGTGCCTGGTCTCTAACTTGTGTTCATAGGCCGTAACTGCCAAGTGCCTGGTCTCTAACTTGTGTTCATAGGCCGTAACTGCCAAGTGCCTGGCCTCTAACTTGTGTTCATAGGCCGTAACTACCAAGTGCCTCGTCTCTAGCTTGGGTTCATAGGCCGTAACTGCCAAGTGCCTGGTCTCTAACTTGTGTTCATACGCCGTAACTGCCAAGTGCCTGGTCTCTAACTTGTGTTCATAGGCCGTAACTGCCAAGTGCCTGGTCTCTAACGTGGGTTCATAGGCCGTAACTACCAAGTGCCTCATTTCTAACCTGTTCAGAGATGCTCCTCGGGGTTAATAAATTGGTTGGCGGGTGGGGAGGGGGGTATACAAAAGTAAATTACATATTATGTAAACCAAACTAATTCTGCATTCAACGCCACACACTAAATAAAAATACCAGAAAAACGAAAACAACCAACAACAACAACAACAACAAAAAAAAAGAAACATTGAAATAAATTCTAACTGAACGAAATAATGTGAGAATTTAACCCATGTAGTGTTGGAATCTTTTCTAAGTTAAAACGCCAACTATTCCAATAAATTGCTCCCATTAATAGGACGTAGTCGGTGTCGAATGTTTTGGACAAGATTTCAAGCCGTTTCCTCTCATCCAGCACATCAATAGTTCGGTCATCTTCTTTACTGTAAAACCTATCCACCAAGACTCAGGCTGAGAAGACACTAAGATTTTTTAAACCAATAAATATTACCTCTGATTAGAAATCTCTGTCTTAAAAAAAAAAAAAAAAACTCTTTTATCTCCACTGACGTACACACAAGTAAAACGTGTCTTTGTTCCAAATGTGTAGATCTCCTATCGTGATGGAACAGAGAGGAGAGAAAAAGAATTAAAAAGCCAAAGAACTTTGGACACAGGTTTATTTAGATTGTGATGTTTATATAAAAAAGTCTTTTGGTTTGTGGGAAGCTTAGGAACAGGTGGTGCCGTTTAGAGCTCTGCTGACCTGCAGAAAGTTTATATCGTCTGCTGACGGCATAGTTCTAGACACCAGAAATTAAACAGAATGGCTTTTTTACATTACATTCTGGCAGGTAGGAGAACTTTAATAACTTTACAAAAAAAAACAAATGGAAATAAATCATAGAATTTGTTTTCTTTTAGCACGTGGGTGTATACACCTGGTTTGGACAGAGTTAACAAATGTATACGTAAAAAAAAGGGATTCATTTAGACCTCATTCGCCGGCTTGTGCTAAGGTGGCCTAGGAACTCCCCTTCAATCTATAGGCTGCATGGGAGCTGCCTGCTAGGAACTCCACTTCAATCTATAGGCTGTATGGGAGCTGCCTGCTAGGAACTCCACTTCAATCTATAGGCTGCATGGGAGCTGCCTGCTAGGAACTCCAATTCAATCTATAGGCTGTATGGGAGCTGCCTGCTAGGAACTCCACTTCAATCTATAGGCTGCATGGGAGCTGCCTGCTAGGAACTCCACTTCAATCTATAGGCTGTATGGGAGCTGCCTGCTAGGAACTCCACTTCAATCTATAGGCTGCATGGGAGCTGCCTGCTAGGAACTCCACTTCAATCTATAGCCTGTATGGGAGCTGCCTGCTAGGAACTCCACTTCAATCTATAGGCTGTATGGGAGCTGCCTACTAGGAACTCCCACATCAATTTCATTATTCAGGCAATATCTCTTAATTTTTTTAAATTTGACTATGACTACTTATTTATTCTCCCAATACAAACCTGAGCAAAGCCGGATAAATTAGCTAGTAACTATATTTTTGATGTAAGTTTTACTCTTTTCAAACACATATCTTACATCCTTTACCAAGCTGTTTTTCTTTGGGAGAGCACGGTCCTCGCCCAGCTCGCGTACAACGAGACGGAAGTGTGCTACGACGTGGTGGGGTGTTTCAACAACAGCGCCCCGTTCAACAACACCAATGGCGTCCTGCCCAAATCCCCGGAAGAGCTCGACGCCAGAATCTGGCTCTTCACGCGTGACAACAAAGCGACCGCTGACGTCCTGAACTACACCGACCCGGACACGGTCAAGAACTCTCATTTCGATCCCAGCAGACACACCAAGGTCATCGTGCACGGATTCTCGTCATCCTTTGAAAAGACGCCGTGGATTTTTAGAATGAAAAACAAGTTTCTAGTGAAGGTGAGTCTCAGCCAGGAAGGAATTTAAAACAAACGAAGTGACTGTGTGCTGGCGAGTTAACCCCAATGAATAATTTCCTCTTCCCATGGCTAATTTTTTTTTAAATTAAGGCAATGTGCAATATAATCGACAATTTCTGTTTCGTTTAGACACACACAAAAAAAACACACAAAAAAGAAAAAAAAGAAAACCTTGTTATCACCCGAAATAGTCTAGTTTTAAAGTCTTTTGGTTTTTTTTTCTTTATTTATTCTCTTACCAACTGTCACCACAGTGTGTGATTAGCCATAGTTCGACACAAAAATTAATTGACCGGCTGACATTATGACATGAAAGGGGGCAGACGCAGGTCGTTGACAGTTCTTGCTTGGTACCAAGGGAGATGCGCATCGTTGCTTTATTCGGCACGAAATTTGTTTATGGGGAAGGAATCATTGCATAGTCATTTATGCCTAGTGCGCTCTCCCAATCGTGAAATATGCTTAGGGCGCGTTCCGCCCTAGCCATCATCGACCTAAAACAAATAATACTTATGGCCTTTGTGAAGGTATTCGTTTTTAAAATACTATATTTTTTAATGGTTTTTTTTTTTCACCTTCGAAATGCCGCCCTTGCTAGTGGACGTCAAGTTTGTGGTCTATGACTCATACTTTTTTTTTTCTAAAGAACGGGCTGGATTAAAATAGTTTGAACGTGTGGAAATTATTTATTTTACTCAATGTGTTGTAAATAGTGTTTGTATCTTCTCGAATTTCTTTGTAAGATTATTCAAAATGGAAATCAATTATATAAAATCTTGTTGTTGTTTTTAATTTTTGTTGTGATACATGCTGGAAACATAATTTTAAATGTTTAAAATATTTTGTCCAAAGCTTTAATGTTTGTGAAATGTCCCACAAATGGGAGACAATAATCCGACTTCAAGAGCAAACATCGCCTGCACATCACTGCGAGTTTAATTTTGTGGGTCTGGATTTTTTTGGTGTTGAGATTATTCTCATTTTGATCTTTTATCGAGTACTTTAAACAAAGAAAAAAACAACATTTTTTTAACCTTTTATTTATTAATTTATTTTCAAAATTATCTTTTACCTATTATTTATTTATTTTCTTTCATTACATTAAGTATGACAATTATATAAAGAATGAAGATATGTCATATTATAAAGCTTGTCAAAATGACATCATAAACTCTAGTTTATGTCAGCTTACTAAGTTAGAGCAATTATTGCAGTGTACGGCCTAGTGGTGTGTAGTTGTGGAGAAATGAGTGGTTCTATTTATAGTAACGTTAATCTTTCAAATGTATAATTCATTTGTTTTAAGGGCGATTTTAACGTACTTGCTGTTGACTGGAGCAAGGGCGCAACGCTGCCCGACTACCCCCAGGCCACGGCCAACATACGGGTGGTGGCAACGGAAGTCAAGTTAGTTTTGGAAATAATGCAGGACCAAGGCCTTGACCTCGGTAACGTCCACATTGTTGGTCACTCTCTGGGCGCTCATCTGTCAGGATTCATTGGGAACCTGCTTGGACCTAACGTCATTGGAAGAATTAGTGGTGAGTTCTCAGAAACGTGTACATAGGCTACATTCGTGTGTTCATGGGCATACATCCATATGTACATAGGTGTACATCCATGTGTGGATAGGCATAAACCCATGTGCACATAGGCGTACATCCATGTATACATAGGCATGAATCCATGTGTACACAGGCATGCATCCATGTGTACATAGTCATACTACCATTCATACTGTCCTAATAAACCAAAGGCCAAAGAAAAACTCCCTTTCTGACCATCAGCTGGTTTTTGAGCTGTCTATTGTCAGATTATATACTGTTGATCGTTCTCCGTCAATTTTCTTTTTGGGTCTTTTTGAACCTGCTGATGTTTCGTATTCCTTGGGCTGTCCTTTTCAGGTTTGTCCTGGGAAGACTGACATGCCTGACCAAGCTTGATCAGCCCCATCTAGGGGCCTGCATGGTTTCTACAATAGTTGTCAAATATATATTCCTAATTCTTGTTGTACTCTATTGGAGTTGGTCTGTTCTGACCTAGCTCCCTAGGTACTCAAACTCTGCCACTTCTTAAAATGAGCTCTGACGTATAGTCGTTGTTCGTCCTTCGCATGTGAAGATGACCACGGTTATATTCAAAGACGACAACAAAGGCTATGTTCAGCAGTGAGCACGCAGGTGGCCTGCTACTCCTATTTGTGCCTGGAAAGCTTTTCCCGCACGTAGGACAAACGTTGTTTTGGGTTGATCCGGCTTTTCCTGGCTGTAGACTTTCTTTCTAAGAGCGGTGCACTTATTCTCTGGAGATTGGGCTCCAACAGTGAGTCTGCCAGGCCAGCGTGTATGATCAATGACAGCGTTTTCCACGAATCAAGGTCACCAACTGAGTGTTTCCCTCTGGAAAGTTCAAAGGACACTAATTTTATGGGAAGTCTGCTGTCTGTCATTCAGTGCATGTGGTCTTTAGGCCACGTTTATCTCACTACATGCGTTTCTTTCCTGGACTTGAAAAATACTAAAGTTTATGACTAGTATTTTGGTCTTGTCTTTGGAATCTTGATACTGTTGTATGGCGAGTCGTAACCCGAATGTTCCAAGGAATAATATTAACATTCGTTGTATGCATGGGTCAAGTGCTAGGAAAAAGTGTGGGAACTCAGCCAATTACTATGCGTTCCAGCAAGACTCAAGCCCTGGCTATTGTGAATAGTATGCAGATTTTCCTATTTATTGTCAGGATGTACTCAATAATCTCACATTACAATAGCCGTAAAACTTAATAATTAACATGCCATTAATAATCTTTAATTGACATGGTTTGCCTCCGGCCTGGTAACATATAGTCTTGATTGCACGCAGAAATAGAAAATACAATCATTAAGATATGAAAAAAACAATTGATATTAGAGTCTCCAAGAATATATTTTATATGTACATTATTTTGAAATTAAAAGGCGAAATAAAAACACAACTCTTTGTCAGGATGGCAATTGGGTAGGGATGGCATTTGGGTCAGGATGGCAATTGGGCCAGGAATGGCAGTTGGGCCAGGATGGCAGTTGGGCCAGGATGGCAGTTGGGTTAGGATGGCAGTTGGGTTAGGATGACAGTTGGGCCAGGATGGCAGTTCGGCCACGATGGCAGTTGGGCCAGAATGGCAGTTGGGCCAGGATGGCAGTTGGGTTAGGATAGTTTTTGTTACTCGTTATTAAATGACGATTAGAACTTTAATATAATGTAATTAACTTTTTTAAGTGCACTGTTTTCCCTAAAATATTTTCGAAATAAAATTCTTTCAGGCCTTGATCCAGCTGAGCCTAGCTTCCTTCACTATACACTTCCGGTTAGGCTGGACAAAGAAGATGCACAATTTGTGGATGTTATCCACACGGATGGGTCACCATTCAACCTGTTAGCTGGTGGCTACGGCCTGATGTTGGAGAGTGGAGACGTTGATATTTATGTCAACGGTGGAGAGAAACAGCCCGGATGTGTTGATGGCATTGGGGGACTCCTTAGTTCAAGTGAGTACTATCTAGCTGAATGTACACATGCTCTGATGGCATCGGAGGACTCCTTAGTTCAAGTGAGTACTATCTAGCTGAATGTACATATGCACTGAGTGCATCGGAGGACTCCTTAGTTCAAGTGAGTACTATCTAGCTGAATGTGCATATGCACTGATGGCATCGGAGGACTCCTTAGTTCAAGTGAGTACTATCTAACTGAATGTACACATGCACTGATGGCATCGGAGGACTCCTTAGTTCAAGTGAGTACTATCTAGCTGAATGTACACATGCTCTGATGGCATCGGAGGACTCCTTAGTTCAAGTGAGTACTATCTAGCTGAATGTACATATGCACTGATGGCATCGGGGGACTCCTTAGTTCAAGTGAGTACAATCTAGCTGAATGTACACATGCTCTGATGGCATTGGGGGACTCCTTAGTTCAAGTGAGTACTATCTAGCTGAATGTACACATGCTCTGATGGCATCGGATGACTCCTTAGTTCAAGTGAGTACTATCTAGCTGAATGTACATATGCACTGATGGCATCGGAGGACTCCTTAGTTCAAGTGAGTACTATCTAGCTGAATGTGCATATGCACTGATGGCATCGGAGGACTCCTTAGTTCAAGTGAGTACTATCTAGCTGAATGTACATATGCACTGATGGCATCGGAGGACTCCTTAGTTCAAGTGAGTACTATCTAGCTGAATGTACATATGCACTGAGGGCATCGGAGGACTCCTTAGTTCAAGTGAGTACTATCAAGCTGAATGTACATATGCACTGATGGCATCGGGGGACTCCTTAGTTCAAGTGAGTACTATCTAGCTGAATGTACATATGCACTGATGGCATCGGAGGACTCCTTAGTTCAAGTGAGTACTATCTAGCTGAATGTACATATGCACTGATGGCATCGGAGGACTCCTTAGTTCAAGTGAGTACTATCTAGCTGAATGTACATATGCACTGAGGGCATCGGAGGACTCCTTAGTTCAAGTGAGTACTATCAAGCTGAATGTACATATGCACTGATGGCATCGGGGGACTCCTTAGTTCAAGTGAATACTATCTAGCTGAATGTACATATGCACTGATGGCATCGGGGGACTCCTTAGTTCAAGTGAGTACTATCTAGCTGAATGTACACATGCTCTGATGGCATTGGGGGATTCCTTAGTTCAAGTGAGTACTATCTAACTGAATGTACATATGCACTGATGGCATCGGAGGACTTCTATGTTCAAGTGTGAACTAGCTGAATGTTTAGATGGACTGATGGCATTGGGGAACTGCTTAGTTCATGTGAGCACTAGCTGATTGTCCAGATGCACTGATGGCATCGGGGGACTTCTGAGTCCACTGGATTTACTGACCCCCAAGCCTACAACCCTTCCGTTCCCTGGTTTATAAACATTCATTGCGTGTAGCCTCCAGCAATCAGTTACGTGTTAAATAGTCTAAAGATTGACATTGTGTTTCTTTATCCAGGTAATTCCAGTCTGGAAAACTCGGTGGCCTGCAGCCATGGGAGAGCGCACGACATTTTCCTCGAGTCAATAGACACAACCTGTAACTTTACAGCCTACCCTTGTGAGAGTTTTGTAAGTTGTCTTTCGTTAACAATCATTTATGTTAGTTAGTATCATTAACAAGCATGTAGAAGTATAAACTCAATCATTAACGCTAGCATAGTTCTTTCATTGTAAAGCTTGTTTCCACTCTGTTGCGACGTAAAGAAATTTAGAATTTTCACATTTTCATCAGTATCCGAAAAAAAATTTTTTGAAAGATATTTCGTCGACGGAAATTCGATGGAACGAAAGTTTGATCGAACTGACATTTGGTCGAATTTTGTGTTGATTTCACACGAACAAATTTGCGTCAAATGTATTTTTCTTATTTTGTTTTACTACATAGTATAATGCGTTCAAAAAGAAATTTGCCGAAAATTTGATCGTGTGAGCTGAAAAAAAAAATCGACCAAACTTCCGTTCGGTCAATTTTCCGTCGACGAACTTTCTTTCTAACAAATTTCCGGTAACCAGGTTCATTTGATCACTTGAATCTAAAAAAAATCTTGGTAGCATAAGCGTGTGATAAATCACCAAGAATAAATATTGGTCTTCTGTGGACTAATCTAATTGCTGTTGCCATCAGTAACAGCGCCTTCCTTGACTGTGGACATCACAATGCAATGCATGGACATAAGCAGTAACCACGCCACCCAAACCTACCCCCGCCCACATTTTTCACCTTAATCGTGACTGTGGACATCACAATGCAATGCATGGACGTAAGCAGTAACCACGCAACCCAAACCTACCCCGCCCACATTTTTCACCTTAATCGTGACTGTGGACATCCCAATGCAATGCATGGACATAAGCAGTAACAACGCCACCCAAACCTACCCCCGCCCACATTTTTCACCTTAATTGTGACTGTGGGCATCCCAATGCAATGCATGGACATAAGCAGTAACAACGCCACCCAAACCTACCCCCGCCCACATTTTTCACCTTAATCGTGACTGTGGGCATCACAATGTAATGCATGAACATAAGCAGTAACCACGCTTCGATGCCTGTGGACATCACAATGCAATGCATGGACATCGTAACCCTTGTAAATGTGTGAATATTTCATGTCTTTATTCCCACAGGACAAGTTCGAAAATGGCGAATGCTTCACCTGTGGTGCCGAAGGCTGTAGTTCAGCGGGCTATAACGCTGACCTTGGTCCACGCACGGGAAAGTTCTACGTGGACACGCACCATTCACCGCCATTCTGTGGTAAACTTGGCGAAATATTTTCTGTTTTTTTTTTTAAATTTTTTTTTAAAGTCATTGTTTATAGAATTTATTTCTTCAAATCTATGGACTTGGCGTAGTTTCGCAAGTTTTTTGATGTTACTGAATCAATGCTAATTAATGTTATTCCACAAAAACGAAAAGCCAACTCTATAAATAGGATTATCAGTTGTTGTTTTTTAAAATTTTTTATTTATTGTTTTTTTATAGTATTATACCGATAACCGGATATAGAATTTACAAACGTTAATCAAATTTCAAAGATTTTTTTTTCAAAATCTCTCTCTCTCCGTCTCTCTCTCCCTCTCTCTCTCTCCCTATCTCTCTCTCTCTCTAAATCTCTTTCTCTCTCTCTCACTCTCTCTCTAAATCTCTTTTTCTCTCTCTCACTCTCTCTCTAAATCTCTTTCTCTCTCTCACTCTCTCTCTAAATCTCTTTCTCTCTCACTCTCTCTCTCTCTCTCTAAATCTCTTTCTCTCTCTCTCTCTAAATCTCTTTTTCTCTCTCTCTCTCTCTCTCTCTCTCTATCTCTCGTTCTCTCTCTCTCTTCTCTCTCTCTCTCTCTCTCTCTCTCTCTCTCTCTCTCTCTCTCTCTCTCTCTCTCTCTCTCTCTCTCTCTCTCTCTCTCTCTCTCTCTCTCTCTCTCTCTCTCTCTCTCTCTCTCTCTCTCTATATCTCTCTCTCTCTCTCTCTCTCTCTCTCTCTCTCTAAATCTCGTTCTCTCTCTCTCTCTCTCTCTAAATCAGAGAGAGAAATAGATTTACCCCTTACCCAGTTAATACCTTATCTATCCAGTCAATCTCTTCCTCACCCAGTCAATACCTTATTTACCCCGTCAATACCTTCCTTACCGAGTCGATACCTTATCTACCCAGTCAATACCCTCCTTACCCAGTCAATACCTCATTTACTAAGTCAATACCTTCCTTACCAATCAATAATACTTTCTACACAGTCAATAACTTCCATACCCAGTCAATACCTTCTTTATCAAATCTCATGTCTCCCTCTTAGGCTATCCGTATCACGTGAAAGTCGTGCCAAATCCCACACAACCAAACACAACTGGTCTAATTTACGTCTCGTTGATTGGAACTCTGGACAAAACGGATTTTATACCCATCAACTCCAAGTGAGTACCCATTACCAAAACTAACAAATGTGAGTCCTTGCTTAAGTTTGAACAGTGTCTGTATGCTGTTGGTGTTAGGTTACATCTTTCACGAGTCTATTTCTCACTGACTCGTTCAAATCTTAGAAAGGTTAAGTTTTTCTACGAACTTAATCTCATTATGCATTATAATCTGTCCAATTTCGACACAGCAGTAGTAGTATTTTTTAAAAGTACAATGTCAGTTCAGTTTAATCATGTTTAGTGAGTGTGGACATAAGTAGTCGGAGCTCATGACACGTGACTAATAATGCTAATAGGATGACTGCACTTTTGATGTATGTGAGGAAAAACATTGACCTTTTGACTGGGCATTAAGCCTTTGACCAGCAGTTGAACTCTTGACTGGGCATTGAACTCTTGACAGGGCATTGAACTCTTGACTGGGCATTGAACTCTTGACTGGGCATTGAACTCTTGACTGGGCATTGAACTCTTGACTGGGCATTGAACTCTTGACTGGGCATTGAACTCTTGACGGGGCATTGAACTCTTGACTGGTCATTGAACTCTTGACTGGGCATTGAACTCTTGACTGGGCATTGAACTCTTGACTGGGCATTGAACTCTTGACTGGGCATTGAACTCTTGACGGGGCATTGAACTCTTCACTGGTCATTGAACTCTTGACTGGGCATTGAACTCTTGACTGGGCATTGAACTCTTGACCGGGCATTGAACTCTTGACTAGGCATTGAACTTGTGACGGGACATCAAAACTTTTGACCGCGGATTGAACTGTTGACTGGGCACTGAACAGTGACTGGTCATTGAAATGTTCAAGTGGGCATTGAACTCTTGACGGGGCATTAAACTTTTGATGGGGCATTGAACTTTTTTGGTGACCTAATAAAGATCAATACTCGGAGGTCGAGATTCTATCTCTTAGGACCTCTGACCGTGAAACATAGCCTAGTAGTCCCTGGGGACTCCGGCCATGCAACTCGGCCTTGAGTGACGGGGTTTTGGGCAGATGGCTTCCACTCATGAGGGTACAGTGTTGCGTCACAGCCCCCCTTGCCCATTGAGTCTTAAGTTTTTGGTGAACTAATCAGTTCCATTCTTCAATAATCTTTGTCTTGGCGAAGTATAAATAAGAGAGTTTTCTTTTGGTGTTTTTTTTTAAAAACTGTAAAGTACCTTTCACTTTTCCCTTACCACCACACGTCTGCGTATGACGTATACCGATGTCACTATCATTTGTCTGTGTATTCGCATAATCCCATTTAAACAACGTAGTCTATGTATGTACCCACTAAGTATTAATTGTACCCATTATGTATTACTTGTACCCACTTTGCATTACTCATACCCACTATGCATTATTTTTACCCACCATGTATTACTTGTAATCCCCAGGAACAAGAAGCTAAACGGAACATGGGCTATCTCCACCAATGTCGTGTATCAAACTGACATAGGCGTCGTCACGGGGGTGCAACTAAAATACGTGAAAGACGTGGGATTCTTGGGGGGCCTGTTTGGGTCCTCCTCCACAAATACATACAGCGTGGCATCAATACAAGTGATGTCCCCTTCCGCTGCCATGTGGTAAGAAAGACTTCCCAGGCGATGTGATTGATGGTGTAAGATGCACTTTCCCAGGTGATGTGATTGGTAGTGTAAGATGCACTTTCCCAGGTGATGTGATTGGTGGTGTAAGATGCACTTTCCCAGGCCATGTGATTGGTGGTGCAAGATGCACTTTCCCAGGCGATGTGATTGGTGGTGTTAGATGTACTTTCCCAGGCGATGTGATTAGTGGTCAGTTGTAACTGAATAAAAATTAAGTTTTAATCAAGTATTTATAAGGACCCTAATGACCAAATTAATCCAAACGGAACCATATAAGTATTTCGGCCCAGGCCCAGGCATTGCTATACGGCTCTGGTAATTGGGTTATCTCTCGTAGCAATTAAACCAAGGGGACATTATCCTTCAAATTTTAATTTCCTTTTTGACATATATTTTTTTTATTTTTCGTGGGATGGAAACCGTGTGAATGTGAATGTTAGGAAGAAAGGGGGTGGGGGTGGTCTGATTTAAGTTTAAAGCTGCATTTTCTTTTCTGAATAAAAATAAAAGCTTTTCCATTTACTTCAAATAAGTTTCTTTGATTTAAAATAAAAAAGTAGTATCCATACATTACTTCAGTATGTGCTTTTTCATGGTGCCTTCTGCATCAGGTCACGTCATCACATATGGCGACATCAAAGAACAAGATTATAAGATTTATGTCGGGTCTGATACGGAATGAGTTCCATGGTTGGATGGAACATCGTGTATCAGTTAACGCATTAGGTGACATCAACGCCAAAGGCGCCGCTGCCAAAGTACGCATGCCATGATAATGGTCGAGTGCGGGAGTTCACTGAACTAATAAAGTTGCGCATGGGATGTTGTATTTATTCTGAGCTGTGAGTGTGTTAAGCCTTTTTATTGGTTAATCAACGCCTTCCCGCATTTTAAATTTGGACGTTGTCTGTTTTTATGGTACTTATGACGTACTGTCTTACAGTCTGTTTTGTGGCGTGCTTGTTTATTCGTGAGCAATCGTGGAGAGAAATCTGTTGGTGATGGCTCTGCGCTGTTCTCTCTGATAGTGAGCTGCGCTACGCGTGTGTTGATGAAATGTACAGTCAGTTGGACAGATTTATGGGTTAAAGGTGTATTAACTATGGAAAAGAACGTGTGTGTTCAAGTCTGTTTATAACGAAGCATGAACCATTGAAGAATCTGATGAATTAAACCCATCGTCGAATGCACTCGAGTTTGACAATGATGTTCTCCTATAATCTCTACAGGGCTTCCTCCTGCCGAGGAGAGTTCAATCTGTTGGACAAGCAGCCGCTCGATGTGGCAACTGCAGCCGGCCGTTCAAGTGATCCCTGCACTGTCATAGGATAGCAGCTGACGCTATCAACAGACGATCATTCCAGTGTTTTGCAAGCTCTTCAATGTGTAACATTCGAAAGCTGTTCAATACAAAGAGAAAAAAAATACAAACATATTAAGGTTAAAATGTAACAGTAAAGTTAGTGTTGTTTTTTTATTGGTCTTTTAGATCTTTCGCGGTGAATCGATACAGTGGTGATATCAGAAGTCTGATTATGATTGAACTATAAAATGTGTTCATTTTCAAATTAGAGAATTTTTTTTTTTTAAATACATTTTAAAAAAGACGTGTTTACACGCATCAAAAATTAGAAAAAACGATTTCTTAACATTTCATGAATTTTAAGTTGTTTTTTTTTTTCCCCTTCCAAATTTTGGGAAATATTTTCTGCTTCTACACAATTGCTTCTTTGTGCAATGCATTTTAAGAAAAGTTATATTTATTATTGAGCTTCAACTCGTCTTCCTTCGACCCAGCCTACTGGAGCGGTAGAAAACTCAGGCAACCTTTCAGTCCACCGAATGAGAATGTCAGGTGTGTCAACAACAAAATTACACTCCACAAGATGGAAATGCGAGTAGAGATAGTCGCTAATAAAAAGGCAAATAAGACAAAATATTGGATACAAAAACAATGAATAAAAATTAAATGAAAATAAGAAGATAACTTAATAAATATTTCAAAGGCTGAGAGAGTTTGGTTAAACGCGGGAAAATTTTGGGGTGAGGGTGTTGAAGGCGCAATGTGCAGATTTCTTTTGCTGCCCACAGATACGACTTCCCAGCTAATTGCTCTTTCTCATTTTTATTTTTATACCGTTTTTTCTGTTGCTTTGTTCGCTGACGAAGGCTTTCTGCCGACACGTTCGCTGTTTTGTTGCGTTTATTTTTTCAGGTTTTACCCTACTCTGTTTTACTCATTTTATATTGTACTAACCTGATTGCAGTCTCTCCCTTCCTCTGAAGTCACACATCTGAATGAGAACTAATAAGTCCCTGATTTTGCTAAGCGAACTCACTGAATGGCTGTTTGAAATAATTTATTATAAATGTCTTGTGTTCAAATTGTTTTATTTTTGTGCTGAAAATGTATAATGCAATCAAAAAACATTTCCATTTATTTGGATCAATAAAAGAATCTTATCTTATCTTATCTTAATTAATTTCAATTAAAACAACATTTTACCATTAAAATTAAAGACTTCCAAGGGACACCTTTTTTCATAATAAATCCAGCACAAGAGCTAGTTAAACACCTCTGTCGATTTCTGCTTTCATATGAATGATAAAAATATATATAATGTGTGACGTTACATAGGATCAAAGGCACACCCCCTCCCCCCCCCCCCCCCCCCCGGTTTCGCACACTTTCACATTTTCTTAGACCCCTTTCCCCTCTCCCAATTGAAAATTGCGACTATCTTTGTGGACAGCCCCTTGCCCTGATTATGACGTCACAAGGTCATGTCGTGAATGAACAAGGAAGGGGGAAAAAAAACAAAGATTGACAGATTTAAAAAAGAGAAGAGTTTAAAAGACTAAAGTATGAGAAGTCTGTCAGATTGCTCTGCATACATAACTGGTGGACCCCCTAGTGACTGGGACTAGTTAGACGTGTTGACACTATCTCAAGTTTTGTTTATCTGTCTGGCGAAAATGGGAATTTTAATTTTCAGCACTATTATGGCAGGTAATTTGTTTAAATTATATAATGGTCAATCAATATTCAACTTGAGAAAAATTATTTTAGATTTTGTCATAGGATCAATTTAAAATCGACAGCTTAAAAAGGGTCGGTTTTCAAATCCATTTAATCCCGCTGTAAATAATATATATTTATATATATACCGACTTTAATGTCAGGCAACACTTCTAGGGAAGCTGAAAACATTAGTAGACGCATTATTTGACGCTGAAAGGTTGGGCTCAAATAGATTGCTAAGTCAGATGGACTGGGCAGGTCTAGCACTCAATGAAAAAGCAATGCCAGATGGACTGGCCAGGTCTAGCACTCAATGAAAAAGCAATGCCTGATGGACTGGGCAGGTCTAGCACTCAATGAAAAACCAATGCCTGATGGACTGGGCAGGTCTAGCACTCAATGAAAAAGCAATGCCATATGGACTGGGCAGGTCTAGCACTCAATGAAAAAGCAATGCTAGATGGACTGGGCAGGTCTAGCACTCAATGTTGTAGTATGCAAAATGGATTTAATCTTTCCAGTTAAATTTAAAAGTCTGGATTTATTATTATCCAAAAATTTCCTTTCGTCAAATTAATAAATTAATTGACCGAATTTCCGGATCACGATCAAATATTTGATTCAATTTTAGGATATTTTTTACAGCAGTTTCCCTGGCCGGAAGTTGCGTGGTCGCCCAGGCTGATAATGTCTGCTACCCAGTCGTCGGCTGCTTCAACAACCACCCACCAAACGGCAACACCCATGGGGTGCTACCAATATCTCCAGCAGACATGGGGGTCCGGATGTGGCTGTTCACACGCAGCAACCGCCAGGCACAGGACGTCCTGAACTACAACAACCCAGGTTCCATCACTGGTTCTCACTTTGATCCGCACAAGGCCACCAAGTTCATTGTTCATGGCTTCTCGTCATCTTTTGAGAAAACTTCATGGATCCTTCACATGAAGGACAAATTTTTGAACAAGGTCAGCCTGTCCCGTGAACAGAAGTAGTGTATGACTGTTAGAACAGCTTTTTGACCTACATTTCAATCTAAGTAGTCTATCGCTTTTTAAATATGTCCTTTTGTGCTTCATTGCCTTTCATTCCCTGGTGCCTGGTGGCGCTAAACAAAATATAAAAGAAACTGCTGTGTTCTTTATTCCCATCACTCTCACTATACCCCCGAAGAACACACAGTCCAACCCCTGTCCCCCAACCACACATCACTTAAAAATACACACACAGAAGGGACTCTAGATCAGGGATTCTCAGCTTTCGTAATGCAGAGACCCTTTAATACAGTTCCTCATGTTGTGGTGAGACCCAGCCATAAAATTATTTTCGTTGTTTCTTCATAAATATCTGTTTTCCGGTGGCCTGGGGCGACCCCTATGTAAAGGTCGTTCTACCCCCAAAGGGGTCGTGACCCACAGGTTGCGAACCGCTGCTCTAGATGAAATATCGATATTTAAGCATCAAAGATGTTTATATTATGACAATAAGCTATCACTATTTGTTACATCAAATGCTTTGGATGTTTTTAAGCCTAACAAATTTTCTTTTGATATTGTTGGATTGCATTACAATAAAAAATGTTGAAATGGAAGATATGGTGTTTGGACATGGGGGTAAAATAAAAGAATATATATACTAACCATGATTAAATGGCATTAAAAATAGTTGATACAATTTTATGTAAAAATTTAGAGCTCGAGATTTTGTTGTTGATCTCAAAGTGGGTGAAAAAAATATCGTAGTAACTAAAACAAAAAAAAATGAATTGTTTTATTTCTAATTTTATGTTTTAACTGAGGGTCTCCGTTTTTCAATTTCTGCCACCAGGGAGATTTCAACGTTGTTGGTGTCGACTGGAGTAAAGGGGCGGTCATGCCAGCCTACGACCAGGCTTCGGCCAACCTCCGACTTGTGGCTGCTGAAATAAAGCTCGTGCTTGACATCATGAAGGCCCACGGGTTGGACCTGGCCAAGGTCCACATTGTGGGCCACTCTCTGGGGGCCCATCTGGCCGGGTTAGTCGGACATCTGTTTGGGAATAACGTCATCGGGCGCATCAGCGGTATGTTTATAGTAACGTCATCGGGCGCATCAGCGGTATGTTTATAGTAACGTCATCGGGCGCATCAGCGGTATGTTTATAGTAACGTCATCAGGCGCATCAGCGGTATGTTTATAGTAACGTCATCGGGCGCATCAGCGGTATGTTTATAGTAACGTCATCGGGCGCATCAGCGGTATGTTTATAGTAACGTCATCGGGCGCATCAGCGGTATGCTTAGAACAATAATTTCCAAATCTTTTAGCTTCTGTCCATAAGTATGGCTTGTGGTGCGCGCCACAATGGACCATATGTAAAAAGGTTATAAGGGGGAGAAGTTGCGATCAGGTTTGCGAAAAGGGAAATAAGCGAAACACAGTATGTGTAATCCTGAAAAAAAGGAACGCAACAAAACAAAGAACGTGTCGGCATGAAGCCTTCATCGGCGAACAAACAAATTTAAAAACATAATTAAATAAAAAAAATAGCACATCTTTTTTTTTTAATCATGTTGAAAGATTATCCAGTAAAGAATCGCTTTTAAAATATCTTCATGTAACCCCACTCAGGATCATAAATCGCCTTCCCAATTGTTTACCATCGCCTACTTAACTAGAACTTAGAAGCACACCCTCATTTCTGACAAACATTTATGTTCACCTAAATGTAGAGCTAATCAGCGTAGATGAGTCAATGAAATGGCATTTAATGGCACATCCAAATTCAAGGCCACGCTGACCAGCATCCATTTACTTACATTTTATGATTTTTTTGTTGGTTTTTTTTTTGGTGGTTTTTTTTGTTGTTTTTTTATCATCGCGAATGGTATGGCGATTTTGGACCAATCTTTAAGAATTACCTCTATTCCCATTTTGGACCAATTCATAACAACATAACTCTAATTTGGCATTTTTCGTTCATATAGACACGTACATTGCGCATTTATATTGGAGTATTTTATTGACACGAATGTATCTCAGGTTTGGATCCGGCTGAACCGAATTTTAAGTCCCAGTCTACGGCTGTTCGTTTGGACAAGGATGACGCCATATTTGTTGACGTCATTCACACCGATGGCTCACCATTCTTTCTCCTCATCGGCTACGGCCTGATGCAGGAGAGCGGTGATGTGGATTTTTACGTCAATGGCGGGGAGAAACAGCCAGGATGTACCGGAAGTGGTATGTGTTCGACCAGGGATAATTGTATATGATTTGGCGGATAACTTAGAGCCAAGAAATAGTTCCAATGACGTATATGATAAAATAAACATCATCTTCTAGGTTGAAAGTCTATAAGTTTGAAAACTTTTAGCAGGATTCTAGAAGTAAATTTAAATTGTTCGTTTCACATTGGCACTTGACGAAAGATTTATATAAATATGCAGATATCATTTAGATATAGATATGACATGTAGGAAAATCTTCAATGACATTATTTCAAACGGATAATATAATGTCATAATTGATATGATCGGGTCATACTTGTCATAGACGAAATCTGATAACAGCAATATTTTTTGTCCATTTTTTTTTTTTTTTTTTTTGGNAGCCAAACTTGACAGGATTTTCTTAATCTAAATTTATTTTTTTTTTTTTTTTTTTTTTTTTTTCATGTGTTTGGGGAGTTTTTTTTTTTTTTTTTTTTTTTTTTTTTTTTTTTTTTTTTTTTTTGTGTGTGCCCCCTTGAACAATCTTATTCAAACTCTGGCTTACTATTTTCAGCCCCAGTCGGAGGTTCTATCTCGTGCAGCCACGGGCGTGCACATGAAATATTCCTGGAGTCCATTGACACGGCTTGTCATTTCACGGCATATCCTTGCGCATCTTTTGTAAGTGACACAGTATCATTTATAATAATAATTTCGTGGGTGGATCTTGCCCCCCCCCCCCGGGCGCTCTCACTGCGCACCGTGCTGCACTCTCATTCCCCGCTTCCAACGTCGTGCGCTCGATTTCGACAGCGACAAATGCACACAGAAGAACACATCTCTACGTCAATGAGTCTCGACAACGAGGTCTGCCCCATTTGTCCTTCGTTTTAATCGTTGGCGATGATGATAAGCCCATATCTGTAGAAGTAACTGATAAAATGATTTTTGCTGAGATACAAGATAAGGACACAGATCCTAGACTTTATGATATTGTAAAAAGAAGGAAAAAAAACATGGTCGATGTGGGCAAAAGAACCCTCTGGAATATTATCATAGATTATGCACATCTCCCTGTATTTTACACGCGCTTCGTAGGTGCATTGCCCCCAACTACTTTAATACGTTTTACGTTGTAATCATCAATGAACTATGTCACTGTCTTTTAATAATAGTCTAGACGTTGCGGATATAAGCATTGACTATTTTAATTCGAGCGATCACAATATTCAAAAGAGGAGTGGGTATATATGCACGGTGTATATATTTAATATATATATATATATATATATATATATATATATATATATATATATATATATATATATATATTGTGATTGCACAGTAATAAGAAACACACCTTGAATCGTGTAATATTTTGTTCTCACTTCACTTAAATCGCTGTTCTTCTATATATACTATATATATACACAAAACCTCCTTTCACTTCACTATCTTATGTACAATATTTTGATCAACAATCACCGGTTTTTTTTTTAATCATGGCCGCCCAACTCGCAAACTGTTGTACCACATGACCAAATTCAACAGTCTGATTGGCCAGTCTTCATATATCCCAATAATCTTTATTGCTATGCACTGGGAGTATAGATTATCTAGTATATCAATTGACTCCCATCAGTTTTTCTCACATTTGTAATTATACCCGTGACAGTGCTTGTATGTGCACTGTACACAATTGTTAAATCATAAAATATTATGTATCATACATTTTCGTATGTCCGTTGACAATGTCGTCATATTTAAACAATTTAATCATTGAGTTTCACTTGTCGAATGAAATCCGGATAAGTCAGAGAACAAAAAGAATGATCAGATTCCTGATGTTCAACTTGAATTGCTGGATATGGTTGTTTTTTTTTTTTTTGTGTATGTTATGTTTTAACTTGGAAATTAACCTGCAGAATTATGCGTTAAATTACGCTTTCAGAGTTGAAATCAAAACTGTTTTCATAATCAGATCTCAAACCTGTAATGCTGTTTTTATAGGAGATACTTGGCGAAAGGCACATGAGAGTCTCATTTATCCGCCAGGGCTGAAAGAGGATTTAGAACATTATTTCTTGTTCCAGCCAATGAACAGGATCTTAATGTCCGCTTGCAGCGTTAACTGTCATTCTTACACTTTTATCCCAGGCTCAGTTTGAGAACGGTGAGTGTTTCACCTGTAATGCAGGCGCGTGCAGTTCTGTTGGATACCTGGCAGACAACTACCCAGCTCGTGGAAAGCTGTACGTGGACACACACCACGCATCACCGTACTGTGGTAAGGGTCGAAACTCAGCTGCTAGGCTGATTCTAAAGGCAAAAGAAAAAACCGTGATCACGTCACACCAGTACTTAATTCACTTCATTGGCTCCCTTGAAAGCACGGATTGACTACAAACTCTCTATTCTCTGCCACAACTTTTTTCTCGGATTCCTCCCCTTCCTATCTAACCAAACTTCTCTCTGTCTATTCGACACTTCGACAGCTTCGCTCCTCCGCAGACGCGCGTGGTCTTTCTGTCCCCAAGATTCGCACAAAAACATACGGTGAACGATCGTTCTCTTTCTATGCCCCCAAACAATGGAATTCTCTTTCACTACACATTCGCAATATACCGACCATCACAGCCTTTAAAACTTCCCTCAAAATACATCTCTTTAAACTTTACCATTCTGACTGATTCACCCCTCTGACCCATAACCGATGCTGCTGCGGTGCCGCCCATGGCTTGACATGGAACTCATTCTGGAATGTGTGAAGTGAATATACATTTGTTTGTTTTAGTTAATTAATGTATGTTAATTTTTTAGTTCATGATTATGTTTATTAAATTGTATGTACAGCGAGGTGAGCCCGGCCCTAGGCTGGGGTACCACGCTATATAAAACCACCACTAATAATAATAATAATAATAATAAATCATGTTGTTGTTTTCTTTTAAATACTAAAACCAAAAAAAAAAACTCAAAAAAACCCGATGTATCATGGTATACCTGATGATTGATAGACTAGTTTGACATTTTCAACTACGGCCTACTGAGTGAATACCTTTAATTAAATATCATATAATTAATCTACATATGCTACGATTAATGTATTAAAATAAAACTATGCAACTCAATTTTCTATTTTATTGGTCTCATATCCTCTGATGACTAGCATTTTTACATTTCTGACTTGTTGCACGGCAATAATGAAAAAAGAAATTAATTTGTGGAGCGTCTGCTAATGTATGACGTGTCTGTTTGTCAAGGTATCTACTACCACATCAAGGTTTTCCCCTACGCCTCTGCACACAATACTTCCGGTCTGATCTACGTCCAACTCACTGGGTCTGCCGGAAAGACCGACTTTATTCCCATCAACTCCAAGTAAGCCTAAGAGCGAAAGAAATGTTTTTAGCACAACCTTCAAGAGCAGCATTCAAATGCCTAATACATATAATCAGTGGCGTACCGAGGACACAAACTAATGGCAAGAACTTGGCATCATCTAAAATAGCGCACCTATCAAGCTTGAAATAACATATACACACATAATATATATATATATATATATATATATATATATGTATCATACATATTATATATTTATTCTCTACCATAATAATACTAATACAGTATACAATGACGCCAGAGTAGACCTGAAAAGACTAAAAAGTAACATTTACCTTATTCAATACAGTTAAAATACTTATAAGCAAAAAAAAACAGTTTATTTTTTAATGTATACAAAAACAATACGAGATACGTATTATTTGTTCAACTTGTTGATTCGCTTTTTTTTTTTTTTGCCCCACCTTCGGTTTTCCCGTGCCAACCAACGGCACACGAGTCACTAACAAAACTGAACACATTTTTTTTTTCTTTTCGAAAAGACTTGGTTGTTTGGTTCTTGGCATTGGCATCAATGGATTAGGAAGAGGGCGCGAAGGGGTGCGGTCCGCCCTGGGTGACACTTCTTACTTAATTTCAATAGTGAGGGGCGGCATTTTCTAACAACTGCACATATTTTTTTATTTTTTTCGTGGAAGGGAGCGGCAATATTCTTAACACTTACCACCCCCCCCCCTCCCCCCCACCAAAACGGTTACAATAACCCTATATATGCCACAGCTTGGCATCGCCCCCCCCCCCGCCTCCCCATAGATATTGCTAATTGTCATGTCTGTTTCGTGCGTACAGGAACCTAATCTTAAACCACGCCACAGAGATCTCCACCAACGTCGTCTTCAAGAATGACATCGGCAATGTGGTGACGGCCGTAGATGTCAAGTACGAGAAGGACGCGGGCATCCTCGGGTCCATCACCACCGGCCCGGCTCCAACGGATGCCTTCACGATTGGTGGGCTGGAGGTGATGACAGCGGCCCAAAAAACCTGGTACGTTCATGAGTCCCGCCGTCTGCTGGTATTATGACAGTAAAAATAAAAGTATTAGCTGTTGAAAAGTTTATAATAAAAAATTAAAATGGGAAAGACAAAGACGTTAACCTAATTAAAAAAAAAAAATTCGACCCATTCATATAAGTATTATTTTTAAAATATACCGGTAGTAAGTTTCCACCTGAAATAAATTTAGAACGAACATTTAGATTTAAATAATTTAATTAAACAAACAATTTTTTTTATTATGTCTTTTTGCCTAAAACCAGAAATATCAAAAAAATTTAATGATATGTTAGTTTCAGACATAGAAAGATTTGGATTCTAAAAAGGAGATTAGCTTTTACTTTTAATGGTAATGCATTTCTAGTGCACACTCAATAATTAAAAAAAAAATATCATATAATATATACCGATTACCGATATATATTAAAATAAATGAACGAAGCTACGTAAGACTTGTATCTACCCCTGGACAGCAGGCCTATCTATCTCATGACTTATCTGGAGAATGGTCTTAAGCAGATCCATCAATGGATATAGGAGTTGATACGACAAGAGTTGGCATTACATGTAGGAGTTTCCATTAAAGAAATATATTTGAAGCTTGAAAACAAACTTAATCCTTAACTTAATCAGACAAATCTAATAAAAATTCACCTTTTAAATTGAAATTTCTCTGCCATGACGTAAAAAAAAACAGTGACCTTGACCATACCTTCCTATTCAGGTCTGCATCCTGCCGGGGAACTTTCAACCTCCACGACAAGGTGGCACTACACATTCCAACCACAGCAGGGAGGACAAGTCACGCCTGTGCAGTCGTTGGATAATCTCCCCCCCCCCCCACCCTTCTGTATGCCACGACCGATGCAGACCCTTCCACTCTCAAGACATTATAACTGAATCATTCCATTACAGCATTTCTAGTCACTAATTTCATCCTACGGTGTTACTTTTCTATTTGACTATTAGTTAACCAATGAAATATGAAAGCCCCCATATTTGCTATTTTCAAGGAATATTGGTAGGCTACTGGGTACCCCTATCAATGAAGTGTTTCCTCTACGCCTTGATCCTACCTTCAAGTAGTCACGGCAGTTGCTATCTAAAGACAGGGGTGGACTGGGCCGCCGGGAAGATTCCCTATGGGCCGCTAGGACAGGTGATATAATACAAATAAAAGTCATGAAGATAGGGCCGCTTTTGTTTTTTCCCCCCCCCCCGGCCGCTTTGATTTTTCCCGGGCCACTTGAACTCCCCAGTCCACCCCTGGCGGGCCGCTTGAACTCCCCAGTCCACCCCTGGCGGGCCGCTTGAACTCCCCAGTCCACCCCTGGCGGGGCACTTGAACTCCCCAGTCCACCCCTGGCGGGCCGCTTGAACTCCCCAGTCCACCCCTGGCGGGCCGCTTGAACTCCCCAGTCCACCCCTGGCGGGCCGCTTGAACTTCCCCCAGACCACCCCTGGCGGGCCGCTTGAACTTCCCATTCCACCCCTGGCGGGCCGCTTGAACTTCCCAGTCCACCCCTGGCGGGCCGCTTGAACTTCCCAGTCCACCCCTGTCTAAAGACCTATTTCCTGAGCGAAATTTATGCCTGAAACAGTTCTCAAATTGGGGACTAGCTTCACTGGTAAAACGTTGTCATACCGAGTGGATGTCATTTATAAGGAGTGGATGTCATTTGTAAGGAGTGAATGTCATTTATACTATAGGGAATACATTGGTGATCGTCTACATTTACACACTCGCTGTTTGTTTTAATCCCAGAGTAAGGAATCGGCATGGCTGGCAACTGTTAATAAAAGTTATAATTCCAATTCTGAAACCAAAGTATGTAGCTAAAGATAATGGGTCCTGTTGAACCCATCAAATGTTCAGTGTTTATCTACCTAACAGCTGCTCATCTGCTCTCAGACAAGAGATTGGGACAACTAAATATAAGCTCATTCAGCATGGAGATAGAGATTGTGCAGGTCAATGTAGGTAGAACGTCCATCAGAACTTTAAGATAAGGTATGTGTATCCATCAAACCACTGATAAGTAAGGCGTCCTGACATCCTTGAAGGCTGAATGTAAGTAAGCCAAGTGAACAGATACAGAGAGTTGGAGACAGCAGGTTGGACAAAGTTTTTTTTTTTTTTTTTTAATCAACGCAAAAAACAAATTTGAAATGTCCATTATTTTTTATTCATAAAATCATTCTTGCTGAGTCCACAAGGTAGAATCCTCTTGACAAATTCTGAATGTTATTATTATTAGTATTATTATAATTAAGGCAGCTAATAAGAAACATTATTATTATAATTAAGGCAGCTAATTACAAACCGTCAGAACTAAGAAACTAATGTTGTACTCAAGATATTAGCTCTTGCCCTTTGAGGATGATTAGTTGAATGATTTATAAAGAGAAACATTTTCGACAGGAAATTTACATAAATCCATGAAAAAATGAACGTATGAAATTTTGTAGTAAATAAACAAGAACTAGAATTTCTGAACCTGGACCACGTATCCTTGACCTTTGAGAGTTTTAAAAAAGGTCATCTGCCTGCAACTTATTTAGGTCAATCTTCAATGACAATGTAATCTGTAGGTGTCTATAAGTGGCCAGTATAATTCTATCATTTTTTCCACGTACTGTGTGGAGGTCAACGACACACACACACAAATATTATGAACCCTTATAATGTCTTATAATTGACATTTTTTTTAAATCAGCATAAAACAAAATTGACATCAACACTTAAAACCAAACACACATGCATTTATCAACAGTTGAAAAACCAAACACACATGCATTTATAAACAATTTAAATCATTCTCTACTTTCACTTTCAGCTAGCAAATTTTCTCAGTCATACTTAACAATAGTTTGTCAGGATCTGTAGACATTGCAGATGTAAGGCTAAAAATAGACATTGCAGATGTAAGGCTAACTTCCTTGCTTCCTGGCACTTCCATTACATGTCAGCTGTGATAGCACTTGGGGTTATTTCCTCATTAACCTGACTATCGCATCTTAGGTAATTGTATTTTGAAATGCTTTTAAAATATCCAAAAAAGTGTGTGGTTGTATACTTGAAAATGAAAGAAGAATTCCCAATCCCCATAACTCTATTCCCAATCCCCATAACTCTAACAAATCTTGACACTCTTAACTGCCTTTGCCACAGTTGCTGTATCACGTTTCATTTTCTCATTCTCCATGGAGAACACAATCCTGTTGGCTTTCTTCTCCTGTCTTCGCTCCTGAAATGAAACAAAAACATTTTCTTGAGCTTTTAGCAGAAATTACTGAAAGTTAAGGGTACCGGTACTTTTAAAAATTAAAATATTTGTAATTTTAATTTTCCAAATCAATGTAAGATTTGTAAGTTTTCTGTAGAAAGAGACTGAAATGATATAGGAAGTCTCAGTGCTGTGCACGCCCATATGGAGTGGTTTGAAGGGCTGAGTTCTATCATCGTTGCTGTTCATTAAATACGTGGACAAAAATGGATTGCTATTTGGAGATGATCAATGCATCCTGAAAGGTAAAAAAGAACAGTTGCAGAGCCGTGTTGACATTGTGAACAGTAACTGCGATATTTTTGGAATGAAAAATAAGCAAAGTTAATACCAAGGTCATGTCAGTTCACAGCACACCATAAAAAAGTTGTCAGCTGCCAGGAGCTTATATATCTGGGAAGAATTTTCACAGAGGGCAGGAAAATGGATAAGATAGAGACAAGAGTGCAGCGGTCAAATGCGGTCAGCTATCAAATCGCCCTGCTACTAAGATGGGGACCAAAGCCAGGTTAATTAATGCTGTCTTTCTTCCAAACTTTATTTACCAATGTCAAACCTGGACTATGAATAAGTTTTTTGAGAGAAAAATAAAAACAAGAATAGACAAAATTTGGAACCATGAAATAAGAAAAATGTTTGATGCCATCCAAATCACCCAGCAACAAATTAATGGGTACTGCAACCTGATCAGAACCAAATTTCACTGCAAGCGTTCAAAAGCAGGGAAAGACCACTTCATGGGTGATCAACTGTTAAGGATACCCTAAAAATCCACATGAACCTTATGCAGGTCTCACACTTTGCAGCAATCTGTCAACTATACCTCCCCAGTAAAAGCAGACAGAAGAGGGAAAAGAGAATGAAAAGTGAATAACGCTTATCCATTAATACAAGATACAGTCTGTGGATACAAGGAACGCCATCTGGATTTATTGTTATAGATTATGAACCCATTCTTATATTTTCAACGCCAAACGTGGCTGTGTTACCATAGTTGGTAAATAGAACAAACGTCTAATACAGGCTACACAGAGTTATTTATTAATTCTAAATGCACAAAATGAAATGCAAAAAATAAAATTTAAAAGTAAGTTAATATATAAGGATATTTTACATTATTTTCTTGCTTAACTTTAAAATCTATCTCTATTTTTTTGGTGGGCTATCCTTCTAAAATCTTCTCTGTGTTTTTGTTTGGCATCTTAACTGACTTTTGTGAGTATTCATCAGAAAATAATGAAAGTGATTAGCTTTTTGAGAATTTCGTTTTTTTTTTTAAATTGTTTTACAAATATAAATGGAACCAAAGGCACTTATAATGCTTTGAGCTAAATTACTTGAATTAGGATATTTTGCAGATGTAAGCAGGTGATATAAAAATGTATAATATATCATTGTTTATTCTTTTCAAAAAGCCTTTCTTTATATATTTCCCCAAAATATCCCCAAAAATAAATTATCTGATGATTACACATCTACATGTGATGTACATATCAATTGGCTTGATTTCATTGAGATGAAACAATAAATCCTTAATTTTAAACTGTTTAATAAAAGAAGTCTAATTCAAAAGGGGACAGATATATTTAACGTGATGGACTACCACTTTGTCTGCCTCCCCTGAATTTTACCTATGGCTAGAATCAACCCCTTCAGCACTCCTTGGACATGCAACTTATAATGTTCTGTCTTAAGCTCAGTGTTACAGCAGTGAAGCAATTTACTCATTTCTTACTCCCATTTCAATTAGTTGTAAATTTTATAACATGTTATTTAAACAATATAGTTTTGTCCAAAATCATATCAGAGAAGGCATAATTTGATTTTAACAGTAAAAAAAAGTGGGTCAATCACCTTTAGAAAACAACAAATTTTTACTGCTATTAAACTCAGTAACACTAAAAGTAAAATTACAAATAGTGACAGTTGAAATGACATTTTTGTTTGAAATTATTTTTTTTATAAGAATTTCTGCTACTTTGAATATTCTTTTACTCTTACTCATGGTAAGGGAATACTTTAGGGGGAGAATGCCAATAGAGAGATCACAGTTTGGTATAGGGAAGTGTATTATCCTTAGCTGGTCATTCAAGGAAAAGGCAGAGATGTTAAGAATGAACAAAATAATGGAAAAGGCATCATCCTTAACTCATTCCCGACGGTTGCGACTAAATGCGTCCTTTGGGGGGGTTTCTCCTGATGTGTCAAAATGGGTCCCGGTGCCTAGCGACACTCTCTTATTTTTAGTTAAAAATAGCAATGAAATCTCGTGTCCCTCGAGACTTCCGGCTATGTCGCGATTTTAATTTAAAAACCGGACGTTTTTATCTTGTTTCACTTTAAAACTATGTGTGCTTTAGTTCGGCTCGTCTATATCCAGCATGTGTTCGTTCGAGGTGACAAAAATCGATTTTTTGGCCATTTTTCATTATTTTTTCGCCGCTAATGTTATTATTTTTTTTAGCGACACTCTCTTATTTTTAGTTAAAAATAGCAATGAAATCTCGTGTCCCTCGAGACTTCCAGCTATGTCGTGATTTTAATTTAAAAACCGGAAGTTTTTATCTTGTTTCACTTTAAAACTATGTGTGCTTTAGTTCGGCTCGTCTATATCCAACATGTGTTCGTTCGAGGTGACAAAAATCGATTTTTTGGCCATTTTTCATTATTTTTTCGCCGCTAATGTTATTATTATTTTTTTTATTAAACCTCATTTATTTTTTGATGCATTCGTCCTTAATTCATAAACATTTATTATTATTTAGCAGCTTAAAACAATATTTAAAAAATGTAAATCAATTTCAAAACTGGGTTGCTTCCCTTTTCTCATGAAAATAAATTAAGTACGGAAGTAGCACTGCCTGAGGGAATGAGTTAAGGTCTTTGTTGCTTGCAAAAACTCTGCTCCCTCAACTATTGAATGTCAAGAAGTCAACACAGACCCCAGCACAGACAATGAAAAAGAATGTCTCTCCAGCCACTTTACCTTTCTCTCTTCCTTGATTGCTTTCTTCCTGGCTTTTTTCTCTTCTACAGTTTCATCCCTTGCCCGGAAGGTGCTTGCCTTATCAGCATTTTTACTCTCCCGTATTTCTGCTTCCAATTGTTTTAGGGACAGACCAGGTATATTTGATGACTCTGTTGAGTCACTAACAGATTTGGGATGCTTATTCCTGCCCTGTAAATAATCATTTCAAAGATTAAATCAAAGCGTTGCTAAATTATACTAAATGCATCCATTTGATTAGAAAAGAAGGAAAATATAAATCTTTGCGAGTTCAAGCACTTCATTTTTTTTAAATGTTAACAAACCACAATACAATACTGTGAAATTCCAAACTTTTTAAGTGTTCAGAGGCAGAAAAAGGGTACAATTATATTCTTTGATAAGAATGTTATGTTCACATAAACTATCTATGGAAATCAATTCATGTAGAAGCAAGGAAACAAGCGGATGATATTTTGTTTGAAAATGTTTATCTGTATTAAAATAAAAAAGATACTTACAAACTTACAACAAATAATAACGACCGGTAAAATAATTAATCTTTGATATGCTATTATCATTTAAAATAATTATCTGTTTTAAGGCTATTTAAAAAAAAACAACAAAGTTTAAAAAAGCTCCTGGGACTCCAAGTAACCAAGAGCTCAATAGATTAAAAATACAAGAAAGGGACACAAATAAAGTCCAACCTCTACTTTGGGTGGAATCAAATCTGTTGGTAAATTTCTTGTATTAGAATTCAGACCTGAATGGAAGAATCGATATTAATTCATTTAATATGGCCAAAAAAAAAACATACTTTATATAACTTATAGGCGAATTTAGCATTATAGTCTTTCAAAATATTGGCGAGTAATTTCTTTGATGTTAAATTTCAACGTTTTGGGAATTTCTTAGAATGCAATCACTTTGATGTCTCATATATATCCATGAATTTGAACTAACCAAGAAGAAAAATTAATATCTGAAATTTAGCACACATAAAATATGTTAGAAATTAATATTTCAATTTTTAAAAATTAATTATAGAACAATGTAAGAAACCTTTTATAAACCAAAAAATGAACTACTAGTCTCTTGGCACTGAGACAAAAATCTAACCATTTGTGTTGTCATTTCTGAGTAAGTACATGTATAAACAGAATGGAACTCACTGAGAATGCTGACACAATCAAACTTGGGTTTGGCGGGTTTCACTTCCTTCCATTCATACTCATCAACGTCATCGTACAAATACTTTGATGTGTCAATCTTGGGCCTGTCTGCCTTGTCATCCAGCACCTCTGACCATGACCTTAAAGAGTGAAGTAACCTTGAGATTGACATACCCAAAATCATCTACATTTCTGTTGCACAATAAAGGCAACTCAGAAAAAAAAAAAAATTTTCCACAGTATTGGTGGTGATCCACTGAAACTGACTTTGGTGACCAGGTAAAACTGACTTTGATGAACCAATGAAAATGCCTCTGGTGACCCCACTGAAACTGACTTTGGTGACCCGATGAGACTGACTTGTTGACCCTACTGAAGCTGACTTAACAATTAACAAACCTTACCCAAAAAATGAAGCTGATGCTTTATGTAAAGATACAGAGTTATATGTTTTTTAAAAATTTTAGTTCAACAATAGGAAACCGTGATTATGATATTTAAAAAAATCTATAATACAATATAAATTATAAAAAAACAATTAAAAAAAAAAATACTGATGTAGTAGGCTTGCAATCAAGACAAAACTCTTTGGGAATTTCAGATAATAAAATATATAATAGCACTGCTACAGTGTGATGTGGCTTACACTATCTCCGGTGTTAACTTGTCATGCTTTAGAATCTCCTTTAAGTTTTCATAATCCTCAGCTGTTGCATGGTCAGGTTCATCATCAGAAATTTGATTGGAGCATCGGAATCCAAAACCTTCTGAAAAGTTTTTGAGGATCTGTAAATAAAAGAACATGGATTTAGTATAAAAATTGTGCCCAAATATTCTAAAAATTTCACCATTTTCTTTAACACCACAAAAACTATTTTAATGCATAAAGAGAAGTTTTTAAAAAAAAATGATTAAACGTGAAGAAGTTCTCTTTTTAATCAGATTAACACACATGGGCTTCGTAGTCTTCTAGTCATTGATAAGGGTAAAGGGGGTTCACAATTACCAAATCTGTCTGGGCTGCAATAATATCATCCTGCACATTTCCTCTGTTGCGATATGCCAGCTGGGCATCACCCTCCTCCTCTTCACTGACATCAAAATCGCTGCTTTCATCAACTTCTTCTTCTGAATCATTATCACTTTCATCGCCATCATCATCTGAGACGAAGTCGTTTTCCCTAAAATTCATTTAATTTTTTTTTTGTTTTAAATGGTCAAAGTAGGGTTTCATATTACTGCTTTGTTTTAAAAATGGTTAAATCAGCCATTGAAAGATAATTCCGATAGAAATTCTAGATTTGTAATTGCTTCAGTTGACAGAAATCTTTACTCATTAGTTTGAGTTATATAAAAAATTTTTAAAGGGAATATTAATTAATACCTGTCTGATTCTTCCAGTTCTTTTAATTGTTCAGGAATTACACCACCAGCTTTTGCTAAAAAATCATCATCTAATAAGTCTTCAATTTCATCCAGCTCATCTTCATTTTCCACTTTAACAACAGGGGCATTCTCTAAGGCTTCTAGAATCTCAGGGTCTATTTCCTCTTCTGGAAAGCAAAAAAAAAAAAAAAAAAAAACTTAAATGAGTTTAGAGAAACCCTATCATACCACAATTGTCTTCTTAACTATGCCTCTCATGTATTCGATCACTGTGAAAACGAAATGTTATAAACTCATTTTAAAATTACACTAAACCAGATCTTAAATTCCTTGCAAAGGAAGCTTGACTTAATTGGATTTTAAGAAAAACTATTTCAAGAGCAGCCTTAAACGTTTAAGCAATGTTGGCAATGTCTTTCATATATAGGTGTGAATTTGGAGGGAGGGAGTTGTGGTATTTATCCTCCAGACAAACAGACGCATGCACATTTTTTAGGGATCCGTTATTGGTATGACACCTTGGTTCATTCACCATGCCCAATTTAAGAGATTCATGTAATATTGAAGCTGGCTATACTTAAATATGTTCAGCAGACTTATCAACTATTCAACAATCATTTAACTTTGAACCTAGCTGTATTCAAGAAACATGTAACTCTTGGAATGTGGATATTCAGATTTTGAACTTATCTTATATCTCATTGTATATGCTAATTTCAATTAAACACTATCGATTTAAAAGATAATTTTTTTTTTTTCAAAATTAAATTTAAAACTAAGAGAACAGTAAATCTTTAAAAATGTATCGGAAAAAGGAGACAATGAAAATAAAAATTGTACTTAAGGCAATATTTTTATATATATGACAATGTTTTAATGATGTGTAGATTCTTCATCTTTAAGACATGGAGATTGTTTCAAATATAGAAATAACAACAGAATTTAAAATGACAAGTATGATTTAATAATTAAATGGCTCTTGATAAAGAGGTTAAGCGATGCCCACATTCTAGACAAAGTGTAACAAGCTGCAAACACACAGTTGTGTATGTACAAAATAGTTAAATCCCTTACTTACCTTCTGTTGCATCAGTGGAATAAAATTCCTTAAACAGTGATGGTCCACTAAAAGTTGACCGTACCTTGAGAAATAAATAAATGGGTAAACAAAAAGCCAATGCAACATCGATTTTAAGAAAATGTTAAGTCAAAATTAGTTTCAGTAGATGAATGCCCTGAGGTAAATCAATCAAATTATCAAGTTGTTGACACAAATTAAGCTTTAGTATGATAGACTGAATTTTTTAAAATTTAAACATCAAATTAAATACTTCAAGTACAAAGGTAATGCCATTCACCTCATCTTCTGTTCGCATTTGATAGCTTTCTGTGTTCACAAGGGTTGCTTGTTCATTCATTGACCGTAGATGTTTCAGATAGTTGTATGTATCATCATAAAAAATGCCATATTTTCTCTGCTCCTCCTTTCTAGCCTCAATCTTACAAAAATAAATACTTATTATTAGTAGCATGATAAAGCCAAAAAACGTAACTCAATATTGATTTATTTTAACAACTGTTTTAAGTTCAATACAATTTAAACAGATCAGCATTAAAAAATTGCACTTCGTTTGGAAGAATTTTATGTTTCATTAAACTCAATTCTAACCTATGGTTTATGAGTTTAAAGAAATCTCACTCACACATTTCTTTTTAAGAATGACATGATGCTTGGTATTTTAAAAAAAATCCTTTTCATTTTTAAGCGATGACCATAAAAAAAATGTCCAGCATTAAATAATAAGTTTCAGAATATGCCAATAAAGGTCAACAATGTTTGTTTTCAGCCAACAATGTTTGCATGATACATGTTATTTTTAAACAAAACATATTTACACAGTGCAAGTGCTTGTTAAATTAAATTGTATCAAGTTTTAAACCACACATCCCAAAAACAATTTTTGTTTCAATTAACAATTAGAATTAGGTCAAATATACAAGTCAATAAAAAAAAATACAAACAGAAAAAATGCACTAGAATTTTTAAATTAAAAATGCTTAAAACATTTTATCTAAGAATGCATTTTTTTAAAAATACACAATTTTAAGAATACCTCTTCTTTGGCGACAGCTGCGGAGGTTTCATCATCATCATCATCTTTAACATATCCAGGGATAAGACGGTAAGTTGTAGATTCTTTCTTTCGAATAAATTTCTTCTTCTTTTTGACCGGTTTAGGCTTCAAACGAGATAAGGGAATAAAGATCATAAATAATGATTATGCTGTAATTTATTTACAAATTAATGAATGCTTCCTTACTGAATTGAGACAAGAAAATAAGTAATGGCATACTACACATAGGGTAGGCCTAATATTGTTTTAATTAATAATACAGATTAGATCAGCCTAATGGCGCAAAAAAAACAAAAATCCTTTTATTTCCATTTCCATTTGAGGTGATAGTATGCAGCATCAAGAAGAGCTGTTTCAAACCAATAACTAACCCATTAATAACTGTTTGCAGAAGTTTCTTTTAACAGTAACTAGATTAAGATGAAACTTAACAACAATTAAGTTTATCCAATATTTGTAATTTCTCCAAATTTCTTAGTAATTTCTTTTTTAAAATAAATAACTGTCAGTGTCACTGGCTAAGTGTTGAATAGGTTTTCAGAGATTGTGTCATTTAAACATTGTTGTGATTAAGGGGTCGTTCGCGAATTACGACATTGCTGGGGGGGGGGGGGGGGGGGCCTAGAGGATTTTTGGGACTTTCGAGAATTTGTGATACTTTGTGACAGGGAGGGGGGGGGGGGTTAAAAAATTTGTGACGTCACATTTTTTTAAAAAAAATCTAACATTTTCTAATTTTGAAAAAATTGTTATTTAATTAATTTAAAGACATTAATATGAGGTCGAATTCGCCTCAGGTATTATAGGGACTATGAAACTCAGTTTTCTAATAATACTACATTTTAATGTATGGGAAAATTTAAAGAATAAAATAAAACCTTAATTTAGTTATGAAAATTTTGTCTATCTTGAATTTTTTTTAGGTGTGACGTGACATGAGGGGGGAGGGGGTGTATGTGTAAGAGTTTGCGACACTTCATGACGGGGAGGAGGGAGTGTCTTTAAAGGTCATTTTTAGCGTGACATAATTTATGAACGACTCCTAAGTGAAGGCTAAGACATATGAAATTATTTAATTCTTCTAGCATTTATTTTTCAAAAATGGATAAGTTTTCCTAAAAAATCTGGATTCACTTTCTTCAGCAAGAATGCAGAGAATCAAAAAAGTTTGGGAACCTTTGGATTAGCCTATGATCCTAATACTTAAGCCCAAAAGCCTATAAATTCTTAAATTTCGAATTACTATTATTTAGGCCTAGGCCGATTTAACTTTGTGGTATATATAGCCATAGCAATAGGTTTCATGAACAGGAGCACATCGGCTGACACTACACCATACAGCCAAATACTAATTGTAGGCTTAGACTAGACACTTGGCCTAGCCTTACCCGAAAATAATTTGTACAAAGTGACTGGACTGGGTAGGGTGAGTTGACCTCTGTTTGTAATTGGGTTTCACGGGGCATAATTTGTTATGGGCATGCACAAAATAAATGTTACACTTCCTATTTCTGCCCTTTAATGTCACACTCACAGGCAACACACCATTGTCGGCAGTTTACAACTTAATCTAAAGTATCTATGCCCGGGAAGGGGGCATATTATCTGAGGGAAAAATAAAGTTGCTACGATCATCCCAAATTATGCTCAACAAGTTCTAGCCCATCCCCGTATATGAGTGTGAGGAAGAAACATTGAGCTTCTTCTTTTTCTTTATATTAAGGGCCCACAATAAATTTATTTATCATTTATTATGCTTAGGGTGCCAATCGCCCTAACCAACACCAGTGTCATTTTTAATGTAGCAGCCATAAAATATTAACTCAAATAATAATTCCTGAGTGGATCTTTCTTATCTACCCTGCTCTCATTGCGCACTATGCTGCACTCTCATTTTCTGCTTCCCCTATAGTGCACTTGATCACGTATGCTCCAAATGCACACCAAAGATCATCTACATTATCAATTTTGATGCATTGGGTGATTGTCCTTTAAATGACCTGGCAGTAATATTTAAGTTGGAGCTCCAAACATGGAATAAACAGCATTGGTAATTGTACGCTTGACATTTCCCCTTATTAAACCACTGCAGCCATCTTGTCACTGCAACCAAGAAGGAAGCCAATCACACTAATCACAGGTTGTTGACTTTTCTTGCCGCATATCTAGACGGATACAGTGAAGCTGCTATGTTCGACGCTGCTATGTTGGCCAAAAAATTAATGTACTTAGTTACGGAATCAGGCCAGGAAAGTGGGCTACCAAAGGCTAAAGGTTGTTGACACTCATTGCCTACTATATAATTAGAGTGATACAATAAAGTTGCTACTTTCGTCACGAAATTAATTTGTTGACTGAAATAACGAAAGGTACGGGGCAACTGTAGGTTGTTGACACTTCTAGTCGCATGTCTAGAGGCAGAGGGATGCAAAAAAGTTGCCTCCTCCCCCCCCCCCCCCAAACTTAAACCGTCCATGAAGAGTACTCTCCAATATACTTAGAAGTCCTAGTACTAGTTTTCAATTTAGTTGCTGACGAGCACTAATTAGCAATAAGGTAGTTAGCAATTAAATCTTAAATGTAAAGATCAGGAATGATGGATCACTCCAGACTTGAAATAAGTATTAATAGTATAAGTTTGTACTTTTTAAGTTGGAATAATATACTACAGTTTAGGCTTCATAACACTTTATTAAGTCATCTTACCATTATTGGTGTTTGTATAAATTTATTTTTTACACAATGTGAATGGAATTCTTGATTTTATCCTGTTACTGATAGAAAACTGTAATTTGTCCACATTTAGCCACAAATGAAAACGTTTTTACAAATCGGTAAACAGAGCAGCATTGGCCGGAAGTATTCTTCTTTTTTAAAAGAGAGTAATCTCCTTTAAAAACGTCGAAGTTTGGAAAATAAAAATTGTACGGTATTTATTAGCTTGCTCATCCGGTGTTCCAGTTTGTTTTTTTTTATTATAATTATTATTTTATTATTATTTTATTATTATTTGATTATTATTTTTTTTTTAATTTTTTTTTTAAGTGGGGTGGGTTTGGGTTCTTAGATACGACTACAGCTAAGTTAACATTTAAATTAATTGTTCGAAAATACTCTTTTAGTATTTGATAATGAAAAAAATATAAAAGAAAACTATTTGACACCAATCTGCCAATTCATAATTATGGTAATTTTTTTATCTATTAAATTTAATAAAACATTGCACACTAACCCTTTTTCATAACATTTCATTAAATAAATGAACAGTATACATATCATTATGATTAGGAAACATATTTTATTGGAATTTAACTGCCAGTTAATTGTGCAAATGAAGACGAAAACTTTATTTATAGCTCTACTTTAAAATTTGAAAATTTTGCATGCTCTAAATATTTTATGATTATTTATTTTTAAGTTAAAATTAGACTTATAGAAAACCAAATTAGTTTTCATACATAAATTATGATAAATTGTGCACGCTCATTTGGAAATATCATTTACAATAAAATAAGAATGAAGAAGCATCTTTTTTTTTTTTTCATACACAAGTATGTCCCTATCACTAACAACCAATAGCTCGTGTGTGCTTGAAGATGACAGCATGATATATATGTTTCTATTTTATGGATCGTAATGATTATTAAAGTTAAAGGCATTTATTAAAAATTCTTTAAAGAAAGAATAGATGACATCTCGCTGATAAAATTGTAAGAATATTTCAAAACCCGAGCAATCATGAAAAATAAATATAGGGCCTAGTTTATAAAAAGGTGGATATAGTTATAATAATTAATTAAAATCAGCAATGTATATTTGTTAAGGCAGCATTGAAACAAAAATTAAATTAATAAATGAAGTAAATTGAAGTTTCTAACTTTTTGATGTTAGCTTCGTCTTTCGGCCCATGCATTATTATTCAAATGGCCCTCAAATTAATACAGCGGCACAGGGCTATTAAAAGCTCGATAACTTTTCTGTACAATTTAAAGAAGGCAAATCAAATCAAATCTCCCCCATAGACAGCGACGAGGCCATGACAGGCAATTCAGGCTCATACCAGCAAGAAGCCAGTATAGGAGCTGCTCATTCCTGCCCAAGACAATCAGGGACTGGAACCATCTTTCAAAAGGAACAGTTGAGGCGACAACACTAGACACATTTGTGTCTATTGCCTCAAGCCTTCAAATTCAAACCCCTAGTGCATAATTTCCTCATCACCACCAGTAACAGAAACATTGCAAATCCCATCTACATGCATAGGAGCCAAAATGATCAATAAATTGATTGTGGGCCCTTAAGATATAGAAGAAGAAGATCAAGAAGCCAGTATAGGAGCTGCTCATTCCTGCCCAAGACAATCAGGGACTGGAACCATCTTTCAAAAGGAACAGTTGAGGCGACAACACTAGACACATTTGTGTCTATTGCCTCAAGCCTTCAAATTCAAACCCCTAGTGCATAATTTCCTCATCACCACCAGTAACAGAAACATTGCAAATCCCATCTACATGCATAGGAGCCAAAATGATCAATAAATTGATTGTGGGCCCTTAAGATATAGAAGAAGAAGTAAAGAAATTATTATTTTTAGACTTTATAGTTGTCCAATTTTTGAAGTAAGTTTGTTTGTTTGTTGTTGTTTTTTTTTTTTTAAATATGCCTCTACATATTGTTCCCAATTTTAAAGAAATAGAACATTAGAGCAATGGCATAGCTAGGGTTATTGCCACCAGGGCGGGGCAATATATGTTTCAGCCCACCCAACGATAAAAAAATCTGCAGCTGTCCGAAAATGACACCCCTGATATAAAGAGAGAAGTGTCACCCAGAGTTGACCGTCCCCTCCATTAACGTGGATATCAAGATGTCGAATGCTGGTTATTCTTATTGTTTCATCAAGTAATTCATCCCGAATCCGATGATTAAAATGGTCTTCATCGATTTCGATGGACGAACCAGCTATTCATCAATGTTGATTTTATTTTTAGAATTTGTTTATATACATATTTTTCAGTTTTCCAAAATGGGAAGTTAACTCTTCTCTCTTTTTTAAAATTTTATTTTCAAAGGTTAAAAATAAAAAAAAAAACATAAATAGCGATAGAAACATGCTTTAAAAGTCCATAATAAAAAAAAATTAATTACAATGTCATGACAATATTTTTATGTAAAACAGTATTAATCATCATCATCATCAATGGCACTACAGCCATTAAAAAAAGTATTAAAGTTATTCAAAATGTTCTTTATAATGTTGAAATGTGCATTACTGAAATAAATGCTTAACTGGAAGTTCTAAAAAATGTATCAGACATACACTCAAATATTAATCCCGAATATAGTTGAACAATAGCACACAGGGAATAACTACCATGTTTTATAAAGATTATTGGTTTAGTGAAAATAGGCCGTGTGGCAAAAGGATATTCATTATTTTTGGTTATTCAGGGATTTCAATAAATTAGATAAACATTATTTCACGCCTAAAGAGGTCCTTGCACAAATAAACTTAACATTACAGCTGGTCAATAGATATCCTTTTACACGAAGATAACTTCAGGTAAATTGGTCAAAATAGAACTTTTCAAAAATAACATGGAAAATAAATTCAGGTCACAACAATAATTTTTACAGAAAACATGAACGATAAAAAAATTTATGAACTGTGAAATTTTAGTAGAGTACTATACCATAATTTGATGAAATAAATAAAATAAAAGCTTGTTACATGTTTACACTGATGTGAAAAGAAAGAAAAAGACTACTTAGACTTATAAGATTTTTTAAAAAAAATTTAAACATTCTAATTGACTTGATGTGTAACTTGTAACATATTCAGCTCAACTACAGATAGCTATGCAGATGCCCTAGCTTTCAATTTCACATCGACGCTAAATAAATTATAAATCTGGAAAATATCTACACTAAGCACCATTAAATGAATGCTCTATAGTAAAAGTTCCTTTGTAAATAGGGCCTATCAATACAGTCTACAACATTATGAATGAAACTACATGGATTTTAAAGGAAAGTTCCAACTATTTAGTTTTAAATTTTCCCAAAGATCATGTACACAGCTTAATGACTTTTGTGTCAATAAAATGTACGTCATTAAATTATGTTTTTTTAATGCGTAATATAAAATATGTATACAGGTTAAATTATAATAATATAATGTTTTACTTCACTAATATTATATAAAATTAGGCCACATCTACAAATAAAAATGAAATAAAAATAGCATTACTTCATAATTGATCCTTTTCTGGTTTACATTTTAAGTAATAGTTTTTATAATTAGATTGTTGTAAAATAATTAACACAAATGTATTTAAATCAATCTATCACTTAGGGTTGCTTTTTTTTCAGCCTCAACTTCACAATGTTGTTACTCATGTCAAAAATGACATGTAAGGTAGTGAGATCTGATGACCTCCTCAAACTTCTTAGCGTGCTCTGTGTCCCTGGTCTCAACAACACATGTGACCTGTTAATACGATTTGAATGACGTGAAATATATACACAAATCAGGCTCTATAAATATAAAAGAGAGAGAGAGAGACGATAGAGCAAGAGCGAAAGGCAGAGGGATGAATAAAGACGGTGAAAGAACTGGAGAGAGAAAGATGGAGAAAGAAATGTAGAGAGAGATAAAGATTGATAAATAGAGAGGGGCAGAGAGAGAGAGAGAGCGGAAGAGAGGGAGAGAGATCTAATTAAATGAGACAGACAAGTGACAAGAGAAAGTAACCATTACAAATGTAATAGCTCTTCCCCCATTTAAAACCATGAAACGATAAATGCATTTAATGATTGTTATCTATGAATAAATCATTTACCTTTCCAGAGAATACGTCATTGTGCACCCAGTCCCTTTTAATGTTGATGTGCTTGAAGCTATAGAAGAAATACAACATTTAAGTATTGACATAGCATTTTTTTTAAAAATGTATTGATTAATATAATTTGCAATATTTTTATCTAATGCTTTAGAATTATTAATGTATAGATGAACTTTAATCAACTTCTTCATCACATCCTATCCACCCAGCGCCACCGTCAGACCCACTTGAGTGGAACTACCTCACATAATAATACAATCCATTTTGACATATTTGATGTAAATTTGTGAATATAGCATCTCACCTCTTTATCTCATCATCCCATCCCTACATTTCAAAATCTCATCTCACCTTCAGACTCCAGGTCTTACCTTGCTCCCTGACCACCCACAAGGGCAGTTAGCATTGCCAATGCCCCAGGAGTATCTGGCAACTCCACTTCAAATCTCATCATCTTGGATTGCAGTGTTAATCCTTTTTCAATGACGTGTCTCATGACAGACATATCGATGTTGGCCCCGCACAGGATGACAACAACTCTAAAAGTGTACGGAATAAGAAAAGAATGAACACTTACCACAGCCGTCATATGAAAACATAATTTTTTAGGGGGAAAAACGAGCATCAAACTTTATCCTGGAGAATGTTATTCTTTATTCTATAATTAAAATAATCAAACTCCACAACTTTATGACCAACTTACGGCTCGATGTAGACAACATTGTGTAAACATCTAACAATTTAAAGTAAGGTAAATCTTCATTACATTCACTTATAAGAGCCATCACGTGGGCTCTGCAACCCCTGCTGGGGCAAGGGGCCTCGGATATTTTAAGGGGCCCAAAGTTGTGGAGTTTGAGAAAAAAAAAACAAAAAAAACCAACCCATCAACGTTTAAAGAAGGAAACAAGATTGAAAAGTTACATTATGTGTGGGGTGGGCCTCCAAATGTCACGTGATGGATCGAATCAAATGAGACACACAAGTGGAGAGAGAAAATAACCATTAGAATATCCCCCATTTTCAGCCATGAAACGTTTATTGCTTTTTATGATTTT